ACTCCCCAACTATAAACATGAACATGTATAGTTCTGGCAGGGAAATTCAACTGTGATAAGAGTAACATGGCTGGAATGCACACAGACAATGAATAAGGGCCAGCAGAGGGAAGACTGGCTGCTGATGTTTCTCATGGATGTGTCATGGATCCGTGCGCGGCTCTTTACAGCTCCACAGGGTGGGTACAATGCATCTTACAACCAGGGCAACAGGAATCAGAATCTACGAATCAGCGATTCTGTCTGTGTGTGTGTGTGTGTGTGTGTGTGTGTGTGCGCGTCACTGACAGTAGAGAGGGTGATAAGATAATATTGAGCTGTCAGGGATCAGCAGACAGTCTTTCCTATTTTATGGACTGTGTGAAGTGTGACAGGCTATTCTAACAGTTTGCCACTGCCATTCCTCAATGTTATTCAGTTACTGTACTGTACTGTACTTGTCAGTCCACCATGCATCTGTAATTATTTACAAATACTTTTGCTGGAGATATTGCCGCAAAATTGCAAGTGACTGACTCCACTTTTTTTTCCCAAGCAATAATATTAACTAATAGCAGATTATTACTTCTTTTAGCCCGACTGTTGGTGTGGCTAATAGCAGTATGCCAACCACAACTTGACTGAACTATTAAATGGACAGAAATTTTGGGCAAACATTCATGGCCCACAGGGAAGGGATTCAAATAGTTTTCTGATGTCCTGACTTTTAAAAAACTTGCTGGAAACTTGTTTATGACTAAATACTTGAAAAACCAACATTCCCATTGCTAGTTTGCAAATATTAGCATGCTAACTTAAACTAAAATGCTGAACATTGTATACATAATGCGATAAACATCTGCATGTTATCATTGTCTTTGTGAGCATGTTAGCACGCTGTTATTAGCATGTACCTTGAAGCACCACTGAGTCACTAGCTGTAGATGCATGTTTTTACAACAGGCCTTTTCTAGAGTAATTTCCCAGTTACAGAGTCAAATTATGTTTGATATTTTTGACCTTTTCTCTGCAAACAGCTAGTTTAGGCCACTGTACTCCAATCTGGCATGAAGTAAAGATCATTCTGCTACTTTGGTGGGAACGGTTGGCAAAGCATTTATGAGAACCAACAAACTGAATTATAGAATGAATTCTATGTTTTACAGTTTTACATAAAAAGTTGAATCTGGCAATATTCTATATTTATTATCAACAAATCTCACAGAAAGATGCCATCTCTCAGCACTTTTGGACATTCTCGTCTTACTGAGAATGAAAATCTATAAAATGAGTATTGACATTTTTGATTTCTTTAGAAAGCTAAGTACTGTACTTCTCTAAAATGTTACTTGAAAAGTAGGTAACACTGCATTTGTTGGACTATTTTCAGCCACAGATTTAGTGCTCTGAATATTTAGGGTAACAGGACGATGAGTGATAGACTGAGGTAAAATTCAGTGGCAAGCAGCTGCATCATAATGAAAGATGCCACCCCCTGCAGTGGCGTAGCTCATTTAAGTGTTCTTACTAGTTTCTGGACAACAATGGGGGTTGACACAAACACAACAACGGTTCATCATTGGTATTGGTCTTCTGATGGGATTTGTTGACTATAGTATAAATACAGAACATTGCAGGTATAATCTAAAAAAAAGTCACCTCTAGCCTCTTTGTAGGAACTGCACGATTTCTTAAAACACATTTTTCTTTTGTTGTAAATTCAGCTTGGGGCCCGCTTCAGAGGAGACTCTGCAGCTTACAGGCTCAGCTCCACATGATGGATGTGCCTCTGCTGCACCTCCATCTCCTCTGTAGTCTGATGGGAGTCACATGAATGCAAAGGAGCACAGGGCAGACTAACAGTACAATGGGATCAGTGCTAATGGACTGGTGCAAGAGGGGATTTTGGTAGAAACTGGGTAAAGAAGCTGTTTGAGAAATGTTCTGCCCTCCTTTATTCTTATACTGTCAAAGTGCTCTAGTCTGCACATGGTGATGTAGTATGTTTTATACACTGTAAATTTCTCAGACTTGTGAAACTGACTTCTTTGTTTCTTGTAGGACAGGTACATTTAAAGGGCAGATGTCTACCAGCTCTGAGTCTGACTTTAGTAATGAGTGATCTGTATTCCATTCCTATCACTCCACAGTTTTCATTTGATTTCCATAATATTTCATCACTGTCTTTTCTACCTCGGGATATAACATCAGGGAGCTATAAACTGTATCTATTCTTGTATCAGTTTTAAGGTCTGGCAATACTGAGGACTTTTGTAACTACAAATGGAGCAGCTTTTCTTTTATATATTTCAAAATATCACCATAGAAAGCAAAAATTATTCTTGTTTAAATCTCCCAGAGGCATACCTAAACTTTCATGACAGATGTTCAATTGCTTTTTCCTCTCTCACCCAGTATAACTTGTCCTCCATTTGACCACTGGTTCTTTGGTTCCATTTCCTCCGTGTGGTCCAGTATAACTGCAGAGTACGGCTTTGGCAGTGTTGGGGGTTAGAGGGTTCATTGCTTATGTAGGTATATGTGACAGCGAGCATCATTTGAGTAGATGATAATGTATCCAGTGCTATCTTTCACACACAGTCTGCAGTGTCTGGATGTACACCAAGAACATTTTAACAAAGGGAACAATCAAAACAAAGCCAACATTAACATGGATCTCAGAAGATAAAAATTTGACAAATTTACAGTAATTTAGAATGGGACCACATTACACTCAAAGCATAATATATCAAGCTGCGTTCAAAGCTAAGTTATCAATAAACAAAAACAATGTAGAGGAGTTAAAGACCTATTACAAGAGCAGAATGTGCTGGCAAAGTATTACTATAGTGCTCAGAACATCAAGAAATGTTTAAAAATTCATTTTTATGTTAATTCTTGAAGGTGTTGTGTATGTACTTTCATGTACCATATCCATTATTTAGAATGGATGATACAAGTTTTGTTGTTTTCACTGGCATCTTCATTTTCAAATAGTCTTGGTTGTCTGAAAAGAGACTGTACACTACATACATGTTTAGGGTGAGTGGGAGACCTTGAGAGGCCAATAAATAGAAATAACAAAAAGGATTTTTTTAAAAAATCCTGGAACAGAAAGCTAACATCACCACATCAACCAGTTTATCAGATTTGTGACCGACTAATTACTGACATATTTACAGTCAGACTGTGGACTCTGTATATTTACTATACTAAATTATTCCATAGTGGGGTCTATCACTTGTTTGTGGTACTTTCACAGATGCTTCTATTAAAAGACATCAGCTGCTGTCTTCGGCCTTTGCTAAAAGTGCATTTATTTTAATCAAATGTACTCAGAAGAATCAGTCAGTCTATAAGCTTGTTACATTATTATGAATGCAATACAGTACATTTCAATACAATACATACTGTAGCTGATACAAGCTTACAAACTGACCAGTACTTTTACTGTTAAAAACAGGAGGCAGTGTGCAAACATTACTGGCACTTCAAGCTGAATATCTTTTTTTTTATTTTTTATCTGCGAGCAAGCAGTTCACTCTTCACACTGTTCCAGTGTTCCCACGACAGAAAGCTCCTCCCTCTTCCAGTTCCTGTTCTCATATGAGACATCTAAGCAGCAGCAGTGAAACTTTGGATATTTTTTAGGCACTGTCATGTAAATATTCCTGCAGCCTCTCTTCTCTGTTATTGTGCCTGTGTCTCCTGAAAAGAAACCAAGTGTTCAATTTAGATCAAACAGCAGTGACAAACCGTACACCAGCTCCAGTAAATGTGACAATTGTTTTGTCAGCAGACACAGCCTGACCTGTCATACCTAATATGTGTCACAGTCTGTGTGGGACGACACCAGCTGTGAAGCTTCTTCAGCTTTTTCTCTCCTTTTAAAGCAGCTACTACCAGTGTCTTATTTTCTCTTTGAGTATGGTTTTATCGTCAGAGTGTAGCCTGAAATGAGATTTGTGTCTGTGCCTGCCTGTGTCTATGTGCATTACTCTACCTCCACAGCAGAAATGTCAGCACTCCTCCAAACAGCAGCAGGAGGATGAGACACACTACTACAGCTGCTGTTGTCCCTCTGCCCTCTGTGTCACAAGGTGCTGTTAGGTAGGAAAAAGACACCCGATGAGGGGAAAAATGGCACAAGTCATCTGACATAGCTGCCCTAGAAGGTCCAGAGCAACAAGTCTGTACAGACACTAAACTGACTGGAACGGCAAGAGCTAACAGGAGGATCCTAAAATACCCTGACTGCCTCTGGATCATCACACTTCTTGGCAGAGGCAAAGAATTGCATTTGTCTCGCCTGTTTAGCAGCAGGAGCAGTGGTGGTAGTGATTTATTGATCTGGTTGTGGAAAATCCTTTAATACTGAAACACCACCAGCGGTACAATGCGCACAACAAAAGGCAATCAGGATCCGGCTCAGACAACACAAGGCAAGGTATAAAGGAGTCGATTTTTGAATATCCATGACACAACATTGTGAGCTACCTTTAAATATGACAAGACAGGCTCAGTCACCTTTTCATCCTATCAACCATTTTAAACTAAAAAGGATTAAATATTATTATGATTTCATAATCTTTCACTGGTGAAATATGCAAGTAAAGTGGCAATTCAGCAAGGTAAAAACGTTCTATTAAAAATAAAAGCACTTTTAAGCCTGCATTTACACTCCACCAACTCCTGGGCAAATATCTGACTCTTTAGCTGCTAAATTCTTTGCTATGTTCACCACGTAGTTGCTAACATTGTTTGTCTGCTGTGTGAAGTTGGCAAGTAGCACACAGATCAGTAAAGCTGACAGCTGTAAACCAAAGTTTAAATACTACAAAATACCAGCTACTTCACCATGAGTTGGTCTT